ATGTTTACATTAGTAACTATAAAAATCAATTTTTAATTACTATGGTTAAATGGAAGAATGTTTTACTGCAGTAATCGAGTATTATGTGTTGACAATGTTCACCATAGTCTATGAATATAGAATACAGCGCAGTATGTAATCTGTTCAATGAAACAACGTTAAAGATTAACACTCACGAGTCAGACACTCTACTGAATCTGACTATATCGCCAACACCACCAGCAGCTGTTCCATAATTCTTCAGTCTTCGATATCAAAGGCTGGCAGTGCATATTCGGGGAAAAAACATGGCCGCCTTTATAGACGTCGCATTGAATATTTTGAGCCTTCTGATTGGTTAACCCTTCTATTGGTGAACTATAAAATGAGTCAGCTCATTTTGGCTGGCTCACTAGTACACCAGGGTACCCAGAACCTCTAACATTATGTATGCACTAATCGAATTTTGTTATCTAAAAGTTTTAGCTCACTAACCAAAAACACATTAATCAGGTGATGCCTGTACAGACCCTTCTTTGAATTTTGTCAAGAATCTCGAGATATACAGCTGGAGCACCATACCAGACATGGCAGCAGTATTCTATACACAGAGGAATGGTAAATTTATAAATCTGCAAGATGGATTCTGACGAGAAAAATTTTCTAGCACGACACAGTGAACCAATTTTTATTACAGTAGATGTAGCAATTGGTTCAATGTAGACATTCCACTTTATGACAGTGGAAATCATGAGCCCAAAGAGGCACAAAGTGTTGACCTTTTGGAGGTTAGCATCTGCCATGCTGATGGCAGACATTAAAGGTTCTCTATGCTGATTAAATGAAACCAGTTTTAAATACACATAGAAACTTACCAAACTCCATCTGCAACATACAATACAAATATAATAAACTCATTCACACGTAAAAAAAGGATTAAAAATAATGGAAGTGCTAATAATAGACGAAGGCACTAAGGATAAAAGCTCATCAGAACAATTGTCATGAAAATGTTTGTAGGAAAGACAAAGAGAAGCCATGTAACGTTGGTGAGAAAGTGACTGAAGTCAAGGATCGATTACATTTCATTTCCTTCTTTGAAATTTGTCCAGAATCTCGGGATATACAACTGGAGCACCAGACCAGATATTCCTTTTTTGCATATGAAAGTAAGCCATGTTTGTGTAACCTCTTAACAAAATCATGTATGGGTGACAAAGAATGGAAGGGGTAAGGGTGAGAATGATAAGATACAGGCAATGGGTGAAAGAAGAATTGTGACATGAGATAATGATCAGTCTTAGTTTTGTTGGAAGGGATAAGGACGAGAATGAGAAGATACAGGCAAAGAGTGAGAGAAGGGCAGAGGCGTGAGATAATGGATAATGCTGTTATTTTGAAAAGGATAAGGACGAGAATGAGAAGATACAGGCAAAGACTGAGAGAAGGGCAGAGGCGTGAGATAATGGATAATGCTGTTATTTTGAAAAGGACAAGGACGAGAATGAGAAGATACAGGCAAAGAGTGAGAGAAGAGCAGAGGCATGACATAATGGACAATCTTATTTGTCATCACTAATGGAATTTCGACAGGTTCAGCAAGTCAAAAATATTATTCTACAATTTTTCTTTGGAGCAGTGTCCTTACCTATATCCTGAATATATAATATATATATATATATATATATATATATATGAAATAATGATAAGTCTTAGTTTTGTTGGGAGGGATGAGGAAGAGAATTAGAAGATACAGAGAGGTGGAAAGAGAAAGACTTTATAAATATCAACCGATGGTAATGCTGTTTGGTAACTGAATGCTAGCTTTTTGCTGAATGAAAACGATTAATTTCACCACTATCATTTTTATTTGGTGCATTTTTTTAGAATATAGGAATGATCAAGAAATGAAAGAATACCAGATAAAAGGAAGAAATAATCTATGTATTTAAAGAGGTGGAAAAGGATTTAGATTAAAAATGGAAGAATATGAATGTTGGATGTTAAGAGACAATGAGTAGGGATGGAAATGCATAAAAATTATAAAAGGTGAGAATGGGAAGATTTATGAAGGGATAAGGACAAGAATAAGAAGATACCGGCAAATGGTTAGAGAAATGCAGAGGCATGTGAGAATAGATAAACTTATTTGTGTCTTAGTGGCTTTACTACTTTGCTTGGGGGCAAATTTGAGGCGTGGTGGAGTCATGGATAGAGGCTTGGATTGAGGAATTGAGCTGAGTTCAAATTTCAATTGGATCTAGACATTCACTTATGTTCTAATAACCTTGGGAAAGTTATGTATCCTCTTCTCCCCCAGCTATAGGTAAATAGCAGGATAGACTGAGTTCTATAGCCTTGGGTGGCAACCGGCCTAGGAGAATGTAATTGAATTCAAAATTGTATGTGGTACTGGCATAGTACATACTAAGGAAAGGATCATTTGTATTGACCTGATAATCCTGACTATGGTCATAAAAGGATGATTTATAAAATATGAATAGTTCAAATTTCAACTGAGGACATTTAGTTTTTTTTTTTCCTTATGAAAGAAATCAATCAACTTTTTATACTTATTAGCATTTGATAAAAAAAATGTAAATATTGGCATGCCACGACATTTAACAGAGGAAAGTTTTTAAAGAATATCCCACTTTTTTATTCATAAGCATATAGGTAATAAAATGAGATGTATGCAAATAAGTTCCCATCAATCTTTTGAAAAGTGGTGTTTTGCTGGAAATTTGAGCAGCTGTTCTTTGCTCCTCACCCTCCTTCCTGTTCTTGTCTATCCACCTCCCTTTTCTATGCCCCTCCCATTTGGCACCCTTTCCTCTCTACTCTTCTGTCTCGGCTGTCCAACAAGACTCCTCTTTCTTTATGCTTTTGTCTCACCACATTTGTCCACCTCTATCTCCAGCCCATGCCCTCTCTGCTCTCTCCACACTTTTTTTCTACTCTTGTCATTTGCTTTCCTCCCACTCTGTTAGTGCGCATATCTAGTCCCACCCACAGTTTTTCTGTTCCTCCCAATTTGTGCACACTTTGCTCTCCTGCACCACTAGCTCCTCTCTCCTCACTTTTGTTCATCTCTCTGTTCCTCCCCTCTGCTAATGTCTACCACTTTGCTTCTCCTTCTTATCTACTCCCTCGCCATTGTACACCACCCTCTCTTTTTTTATCCACTATTCTGGTCCTCCCTCTTTACTGTTCCTCCCTCTCTACTGTACCTCTCTCTCTACAGTTCCTCCCTCTGCGTTCTTATCTATCACTGCTCTCTTCTCACTCTGCTCCACCACCATGCACCTCCCACTCTATCCTTGTATACTGTGCCACTCCTCTCTCTCTCTCTCTACTTCAATCAGCCACTTTGTACCTCCCTCTCCATTCCTATCCACTATTCTGCTCCTCCCTCTCTACTGTTCCTCCCTCCGTGTTCTTGTCTATTGCTGCTCTCCTCTCACTCTGCTCCACCTCCCACTCTATCCTTGTACACTCACTCCTCTCTCTCACTCTCTCTCTCTCTCTGCTTCAATCAACTACTTTGTACCTCCCTCTCCATTCCTATCCACTATTCTGCTCCTCCCTCTTTATTGTTCCTCCCTCTCTACAGTTTTTCCCTCTGTGTTCTTGTCTATCGCTGCTCTCCTCTCACTCTGCTCCACATCCCACTCTATCCTTGTACACTGTCACTCCTCTCTCTCTCTCTGCTTCAATCAACCACTTTGTACCTCCCTCTCCATTCTTATCCACTATTCTGCTTTTTCCTCTCTACTCTTGCCCACCACCCAACTCCTTCCTTTTCACTCCCCACACTATACTCTCCTCCCTCTCCACTCTTATCCTCTGTGCCTTTCTTCCCTCTCAGCTCTTGTCCACCACTACTTCTCTCTCTCTCTCTCTCTCTGCACCTCAGTCTCTGCTCTTGTTCGCCATTCTACTTGTCTTCTCTTCTTTTGTCTACCACTCTGCTCCTCTCTCTTCACTCTTTTCCTCTGTGCCTCTCCTCCCTCTCTACTCTTGCCCACCTATCTGCACCTCCTCCTCCTCCTCCTCCTCCTCCTCACACTCCCTACATTCATTAGCCTTGCCATTATGCCAGATTCCTCAGTTCCATTTCCTTTACCACTTTTTCTTTGTGATGGTGAAGAAAGAAAGTACAAGATTGTTCTTTGCCCAAAGACATCCAGGATTATCAATTTACACCATTTGACCTTTGCTTTCTAAGATGCCAGCTAATGATGGCTCAATGCACATAATGGAATCAGTGAGTGAGAAGCACTTCACACGCATCTTGGATTTATTCTGAAACACACAAATAGAAAAAGTTCTTGATATTTGACGGGGAAGATAAAAAGCTGGAGAGATTGAATGGAAAATGTTTGATTGGATCGCAACATGAACTGAGGAAATGTAAAGCGACATAAAGGGGACGAAAAAATCACTTTGTTTCGTTTGCTTACCGTTTGTCTCTCTCTCACGTTACCACAGTGTGTCTCTCTACTGTACTTTGTGATTCTCCATCTTCCCCCCCCACATCCATCTTCCTCTTCTATACTCTGTGTGTTTCCTTTTCTTTACTGTTTATTTCTATCTCTCTTTCTCATTGTGTATATTTCTATCTCTCTCTTCTTGGATGTACATGTGTCTGTATCTCCTTCACTTCCTCACTGTGCATACATGTCTCTCTCTCTCATGTGTGTGTATGAATTGGCCTCTCTGTCTTCCTCATTGTGTGTGTATGAATCTGCCTCTCTGTCTTCCTCATTGTGTGTGTGTGTATGAATCTGTCTCTCTGTCTTCCTCATTGTGTGTGTACAAATCTATCTCTCTCTCTCTTCCTCATTGTGTGTATATGATTTTCTCTCTCTTCCACATTGTGTGTATATGAATCTCTCTCTCTTCCTCATTGTGTGTATATGAATATCTCTCTCTCTTCCTCGTTGTGTGTATATGAATCTCTCTCTCTCTTCCTCGTTGTGTGTATATGAATCTCTCTCTCTCTTCCTCGTTGTGTGTATATGAATCTCTCTCTCTCTTCCTCGTTGTGTGTATATGAATCTCTCTCTCTCTCCCTCATTGTGTATATGAATCTCTCTCTCTCTCTCTTCCTCATTCTGTGTATACGAATCTCTCTCTCTCTCTTCCTCATTGTGTGTATACGAATCTCTCTCTCTCTCTCCCTCATTGTGTATATGATCTCTCTCTCTCTCTCTTCCTCATTCTGTGTATATACGAATCTCTCTCTCTCTCTTCCTCATTGTGTGTATACGAATCTCTCTCTCTCTCTTCCTCATTCTGTGTATACGAATCTCTCTCTCTCTCTTCCTCATTTGTGTATACGATCTCTCTCTCTCTCTCTTCCTCATTCTGTGTATACGAATCTCTCTCTCTCTCTTCCTCATTCTGTGTATACGAATCTCTCTCTCTCTCTTCCTCATTCTGTGTATACGAATCTCTCTCTCTCTCTTCCTCATTCTGTGTATACGAATCTCTCTCTCTCTCTTCCTCATTCTGTGTATACGAATCTCTCTCTCTCTCTTCCTCATTCTGTGTATACGAATCTCTCTCTCTCTCTTCCTCATTCTGTGTATACGAATCTCTCTCTCTCTCTCTTCCTCATTGTGTGTATACGATCTCTCTCTCTCTCTTCCTCATTCTGTGTATACGAATCTCTCTCTCTCTCTTCCTCATTCTGTGTATACGAATCTCTCTCTCTCTCTTCCTCTCTCTCTCTCTTCTCTCTTTCATTCTGTGTATACGAATCTCTCTCTCTCTCTTCTTCCTCATTCTGTGTATACAGATCTCTCTCTCTCTCTCTTCCTCATTCTGTGTATACAGAATCTCTCTCTCTCTCTTCCTCATTCTGTGTATACGAATCTCTCTCTCTCTCTTCCTCATTCTGTGTATACGAATCTCTCTCTCTCTCTCTTCCTCATTCTGTGTATACGACTCTCTCTCTCTCTCTCTCTTCCTCATTCTGTGTATACGACTCTCTCTCTCTCTCTCTTCCTCATTCTGTGTATACGACTCTCTCTCTCTCTCTCTCTTCCTCATTCTGTGTATACGACTCTCTCTCTCTCTCTCTCTTCCTCATTCTGTGTATACGACTCTCTCTCTCTCTCTCTCTCTTCCTCATTGTGTGTGTGACAATCTCTCTTTTCTTCAATGTACATGAGTCTCTCTCTTCGTCACACTGTGTAACTCAGTGTCTCTCTTTATTGTATGTGCATTGGTGTGTTTATTTTGTTTTTTTGTTTTATTTGTGGTCAGTGGTCATTATTTTCTGATTTTCTATATGTCGTGTCCCTTCAGGATGCGGGCGATCATGGCTCTCTACAATTCTTTTTAGATTTGTAAACAAAGAAGAGCGTACTGAACTGTTACGTGATATCTGTCCTTCTATGTGGCAGTGAATGCTGGACAATCTCCTCAAAGGTGAAGAAGGCACGTGAAGCAACAGAAATGTTGTTCTACAGAAGGATGCTGAGAATACTATGAATCAAATATGTGAGCAACGGTGAAGTTTTAGGGAAAATGTAAACAAAAAGGAAACTTATACTTAACATCAGGAAGAGACAGTTGAAATTTCTAGAACATGTAATGAGGAAAGGAGGCTTGGAAAATCTGATACTCACAGGACAGATTGAAGGCAAGAGAGACAGAAGAAAATAGCACATGACATACTTAGTGAGTTTGAGTAAATGGATTGCAAAACAGGGTTTAAGAGAAGTAACAGACAAACTTTCTTAAGAACTACAAAGGAAAGGAAATTGTGGAGAGCTATGATCACCTATGTCCTGATGGCACACAGCATAGAAAGATGATTTTTTTTTCAGAATCTTCTAACTCATTGTTCTGACGAACAGAAAGTGAGGGTCTAGTTTAGCATTATACTTAGATTATAAATTAATCCTCTCACTAGTTTTGTTTAATTTGGGGGGGGATTTTTATGGAAAAAAACAGACTCTTGATGAATTATAGTAAAATAAACTTTAAAAAAATAAGTTACCTTATAGAAGATGTGTCAAAAAAACTTTTACAAATCATGCCAAAACAAGGACAAGTATGTATGCTGATACCTGGATCATCTCTGACAGTCTGTAGAATGTGTTCTACATGATCAGCTATACGAGTGGATCTTGGTCTTCCCCAATCCATAGTTTTTGGTGTGACAGATACTGTCTCAGTAACGCAGTGATAAACAGCAACAAAGGTTGGATGACTCACCTGCCTTCAGTCTGAAGAACGCAATCTAATACAGCTATGCAACCTTGCGTCCATTACTATTCGTACAGCCATATGTAAAAGTCATATCTACTTGCACATGATATGAATATACTGCCAATGTTAAACAGAAAACTTCTCAGTTAATTCACTTCTATACACGTTAAAGAGGAAGCATGGTGGGGTAATGTATAGCGGCTCAGATTGTGGAATCAGAGAGCAGAGTTCGAATTCCACTCAAATCCATTACATTCACTTACGTGCTAATACCCTTGGGAAAGATATGAATCCTCTTCTTCTCCCTCCAGTAAATAGTCTTGGGTGGCAACTGGTCTAGGAGAAGGACAACTCTGAATTCAAAACCTGATCTTCCAGGTTGGGGGATGTACAGTAGGCTAACAACCTACTCACTTAAAAATTGGCTTGTTATACGAACCACCGCAATATCTTGCGACCCTATGTTTGTCAAGGAAATTAAAGTCATATATATATATATATATATATATATATATATATATATATATATATCGTGTATTGAACAGTAAATACAAGAGAAGAGTGTTACACGACTTGGGAGTGTGTGTCGGTTGACCAGCGTTCAGTCTATATCACTGTTATATTTAACGCCCCCCCCTTCCCACGTGGGTTGTATGTAACACAAGGCCGAGTTTACCGTGGGTTCTCCCAGCCCGTAGGCTCGACCAAAAATATTCCCTTCGAACCCGCATAAACGGGTTCAGGGCCTGTCTACCACCCCGGACGAAACTTTGCCCTTCGGCAAAGCCTCGTACGGGTTCCTCTCTGCTCAAGGCAGAGAGTTTGACAATAATGAACGGTCTATATCATCGTTCCCCCGAGGCTTATTTTCCTACTAATTTTATAGTAAGTGGAAGAGTCCACAATAGACTCATTGGAGGGAAGACACCACAACACACCTCTTTTCAGCCTGACTTTGCATGGAGTCTTTTTTTTTTTTCAATAATTACCACACAATAATTTATTCAACCAAAAAATAAATAAATAAAATCAGCAACAACCACTCTGAAAAAAAGCTATATACAAGTATTACGTTCACAATTGTTTTCTTTTTTTTTTTCTTTTTTTTAGATTTACGACACGCATTTCACGTGTTAACAATAGTCTCTAGTCATTATTCCTAAATAATGAAAAAAAATGGATAACTTTTGCTGGTAAATTATAATGTTAACAATTTCCAATAATCCAATGAGTATTATGCTTTTCTGGTAATTCAAAGTTCATAAGTGAAAAGAAGGCTTTTTTTCTCATTTTTCCCCTTTTCCTGTAGTCATGGTATGAAATGAAAGATGTTCAATATCTTTTTCTTTTCGGCTTAACTTCTAAAGGTTCCGTAAACTTTCTTTTTCTTTTGGGCCTTCTGAGCTCTGGTACCGATTACGGTATTAGAACCTCAAACATGTCAAAGACGACGTCCATAGTGTCATTTTCTATGTGATCCCTGTCGACTACTCTTTCACACTGTCTTCTGATTTGGTTTACATGACGTTTATGTATGAACTTCGGTCCTTGAAACATGTAAATCATGTTACCAATTTGTTTGTATGTTATACCTATCTTCCAGTGAGATTTGTTATTCGCAAATACACGAAAATAAACCCTTTCACCGATCTTAAAGCGCTTTTTAAGCACTTTATTCTTATTACCCGCTTTTGTTTCATTCGGAAGGAATTTGTCACCGATTTTATTTTCCTAGTAAACATGACCCCCGCTAGCGTCTTGGCACATGGAGCACTACTATTAGGAGTTACCCGATAGACCTGCAAAAACTGCTGTATAGCCGTATCGGTGGGAGTACCTCTCGCCTTCCTCAGTGCTCTCTTAAAAGTATCCACAAAACGCTCTGTTTGTCCATTACTTTTCAAGTGATATGGCGCCGTGGTAACATGTTTGATCAGGAATGACTGGCAAAAATCCTTAAATTCACACGATGTAAACTGTGGGTCATTGTCTGTTACAATACAGTCAACGACTCCGAAACGGGCAAATAGCTCGTGTAAAAACTTGACTGTTACTTCCGCGGTTGGCTTCTTGCATTTCAATACTTCTGACCACTTGGAATGACTGTCAACTGATACGAGGTAGTAAAAACCATCAAGTGGTCCAGCGAAGTCAATATGTATCCGCGACCGCATACGGTCGGTTTTAGGCCAGGGATTGAATTTTATCGGGGGTGCCAAAGCACATCCTTTGCCGTGTTTTCAATATCCTTGTCCATGTTGGTCCAGTAGAGACATAACTCCTCATCAGACTCTTCATCCTTGAAGTTCTCGGATGGCCAACATCGAATTAGTGTTCTATTCTGGAGTGTAGATGGGATTACTACTCTGTCTCTGTACATTAATATGTCGTTACAGAGTGAGTAAACTTCTGCAATACTCTGGACTTTGCTTTTTAATTTGTCCTTTATTTCCTTTATGAAGTCATCCTCGGACGCTTTGTCTATTATTGCGTTGATTGTAATTGGAAGCTCCCTGACAGTATTGCACAAGGTACTTTTTACGTCGACCTTTGTTCTTTTGGAAGCAATGACTGTCTTTCAGAGGTTCAGCATATTTAAGTATCAATCTCGATAATCCATCTGCATGACAAATTTTAGTGGATGGAAGAAACTCCATTTTGTAATTATAATTGAGAAGGGTTCCCCATCTTTGCAGTCTATTAGCAATATGTGTTGACAGGCTCTTTTTTGATCCAGAGATAGTAAATGCTCTTCTTTTTAATATAAACTGTGAGAGACGCCCATTCGCTATATTCAACCTTTTCCAGAATTCCCATTTCCTCAAGTCGATTCAATTCTTCATCAATTTGAATTAAGGGAACAAATGAAACGTTACGTTTTTTTTTTTTTCTTAAAAACTGGGTTTACGTCTAGCTTTAACTCAAACTTAGCAGACATTTTTGTGCATTTTGCTAGTTCTCCGCTGAAAACGTCGGGAATTTTTCTAAGTTCACCTTTTAACTTTTCTGCTTCGTTAGTCAAATTTTCAACTTTTTGACATAATGAGTTAATAGGCATATCCCAAAGTTTAAAGTGTTCTAACCAATCAGTCCCGAACAGATTACTTGTATTCTTCATAATATACGCCTTAAGTTTTAATGTTTTACCTTTGAACGACACGTTCGTTATAAGTTCGCCCATAAACTTAATAGTGTCGCCAGTTACTTCTTTAGATATTCGGTTCGTTCTTTACAAAGTCGGCTTACCCAATTTCTTCCATGTTTGATAATTAATTATGGATAAGTCTGAACCCGAATCAAGCTGTAGCCTTATATTTTTGTTAAATATTTGTACTTCAATATATTTCCTGAGGTTACTACATTCTGTTTCATCAGACTTGGTAATTTTTACAAAACTTATTGTCTTTCTTTTTGTGTCCCACTTTATCGCAATTAAAACATTTTTTTATCTTTAAAAGGACAATCTCTATACTAATGTAATTGACCACACCCGAAACATGGTCTTGACGGCAAAGTAACTTTAATATTTTTTCGTTGGCCCTTTTTAATTTTTCTTTGGCGTATTTTTTTAATATGAGTCACGCCACTCTGTTCGATGTCTTTCGAATCCTCTCTGACGCTCACGAAACGTTGGCAATCTTCGGCAATTTGCTGTAAAGTTACGTCGGGCTCGTTTCCAAGCTTGTTGAGCACCCTGCGACGTATTTCAGCGTCTTTTGCTAGATAAAAATCAGGCATCTAAAATTATTGGCGCTTAACTCTGCCAATTTGAAATCATCACAGTGTTTATTGACTACACTCACGAAAGTAGAATAATCTTCGTCTTCTTTGCGGGTGAGATTCATGCATTTCCAACGCTTGTGGAACAGTGACGTCTTTGGACTGAAAAATTCTGTTAACGATTGAACCGCCTCTTTAAATTTGAAGTCGCTGGTTTCTTAGGCAAAATATATTTAACAAACTTAGTATATTCTGCCGTGCCTAATTTCCTGAGGAGTATGCGAACCTTTTTATGATCAGCCCAATTTGCACAATCCGTATTGTATAACTCCTCGTAACGTTTAAA